GGTGCGGGCCGCGGGGCACCGCTCCGCGCTCCTCCGCGGGGTGCTGGGCGGGGGGCGGGCGGCGTGGCCCCCCGCAAGGCTCCGCGTTTTCCTCTGAAATGTTTCTTTTCAGTGCTGGGGAGGAAGACAGCGCACAGCTCTTACAGCGTTTGATTCGCGGCTGCGTTCTGAAGTAGTTGCGGGTAATAAGCGAGCAACCACAAATAGTTCCGTGACCACCCTAACTTTTAAATAGCTGCGGAAGATGCAAAAGGAGAAGGTAAACCTGCAAAATGAGCTGACCGGCTTCGAAGAGCAGATGGAAGCAATGACGTCGCATTTGAAAAACGTGAGGCAGGAGTTCAGCTTCATGCAGGTAAACCGCTACCCCCAGCAGATCCATTTTGTGACCTTTCAGATCACCAAGTCCAACTGCAAACCTAACACTGGCGAGGCCACCACCAATACATATATTTGAGATCCTAACGCAGTGCCTGTCTGCGGCTGGTGGCGCGATGGATTTTGCCGGCTTTGCTGGAGACTCCTCAGGCCCTTATTCCGGTGCTGCCACGGGAGGCGAAAGTTACAGTGTAGATCTCAGCGATACTATCTTACCGTCGTTAGAAAGACCATCCGGGGTCAAATGACTGTATCTAGAAGAAAGCCAGGCAGGATGTATTTTAGAATTCTTCATTAATTGAGACTTTTGTAGATAATAAGAAAAATTTGGTCAAGGAAAATAAAACATCAGCGTAAGGGAAAAACAAATTTATAATCTTTATAATGATCCAGAGTTAATTGTGAAATGCTAGTGGAGAGTTAATTCACTGACATGAAAAGAGAAGTGAGATGGCTAAGGTGCAAATCTTCACTTACACTCTGAGTTAACTGGCCACAACGGGAGGTTTAGATTTCTAAAGTCCCGAGTCAAATCTGCACACCTTTCAGGTGAAAAAGGCTTAAGAAACTTCCCTGCAGCTAGACAACTTGATCTTTTTTGTGCTAGATTAAAGTTTTAATCCGCACTTTAGGAAAGAGGCAGCACATACTATTCTCTGTTTAACAGTGGCTTTTAGTAAGTAATAGATTTGTTATTATACAAAGAAGAAAACCCCTGTTAAATCACTTTCATCAGAAAGATTAAGACTATATAGAGATGCTGCTATAGGCCAGCCTGGTGGTGGTCTGTCTCGGCACTAAACAATAAAATTATTTCTTTGGCTTTGCCTCCCGAATCTGATGTAAAGCCACTGGTGATCACAGACTAAGATTTTGATTTTGAAAGATTAAGACTCTAAATCGTGGGTGGAACTGATTTTTTTAGGGCTATAAAAGTTGATATCTCATACAATACAATGTGTGTCAGAATCGTTTAGGTTGGAAAAGACCTTTCAGATCATCAAGTCCAACTGCAAACCTACCATTGGCGAGGCCACCACTAACACATATTATTTGAGATCCTAAAATGCAGACAATAAAGTTGCTCTGAAAACTCTTGATATTTACATGACAGAATCGTACCATCGCTGACTTGGGATTTGGTTGTATGCGAAAAAAGGGGGTTTTGTTGATATGTGCCTTTTGTTTATTGTAAAATGCTGAACTATATTATTCTCTAGTCTCTTCACAAAGCCAGAGAGAATGAAATTGAAACTGAACAACACTTTAAGGCCCTGGCTGAGAGAGAATGTGGACGTCTCAAAAGTGAGATTAAACGACTGGAAGATGAAACAGTTTCCTTGAGAGAAAAGAAAAACAGTCAAGAAGTAAGATTTAGAATTTTTGTCAGAGAGCACTCGTAATTAGATTTTATGACTTGTCCTCACTTGCACTTAGAGAATTAATAGTATAAGTCAAGAATAGCTAATTATAATTAAAACTTATAAACTGTAATAGATGATCTGGATGTGCTTTTCCCTGTGTAGGCAAGTAGAGTGACACTGAGGATCTACTTGCATAGACTGGTCACGACTTAGCAAATATTAACTAGATAATGTCCTTAATGCAGATATACAGCCACACACCCATATCACCATCTGGTTAATCCTCGCAGGTATTTTCTTTATGGTTTACAAATGAAATTGTTGGTGGCAAATCATCTTCTCCACATAAAATAAACTTGGAGCATGATTTTGAGATAAAAATTTGCTTTACGTTAAAAAAAAAGTAACCTAATGCTATCTAATTACAGGTGTTTTTCTCTTTAATGGAACTGTCTCTTTTTCTTTCTATGAATAATTTGTTTGGTTTTTTTTTTTTTACTTGCTCTCTTTCTTCCCAATAAGTCCATTTGTAATCTCCAGTCTCTCAGAATGGGTAGCAGGATGAAGATATCCTTGTCGTTCAGCTGGATCCAGATTCTCTCATATTTGTGTCAGAAGTCTCTTCGCGTCATGTGGGGCCATTTGTAAATTGATACGCAGAATAAGGATCTAAGAACTGGGCCTCTGTGTGTGAGGGACAAACTTTACCCTATGGTGCCTCGGATCAGTTTATTATGTGGAATAAATATCCTGCATATGGGTATATCTTGCCAGAGGTTGACTTAAAAACCTGTTTAAAATTATTTGCATATTAAGTTTGTGGTAACTTATTGTCTTTGTTTCTTCTTTAAGACCAGGACGTCTATTAGCATTCCTCAAGTACAGTAGACAGTTAACAAAAAAGAAAACTAGCAGTTCTGTTGACAACAAGATGTGTGTAAACTTGTTACAGTAGCTTGAACTGGTGGTTTCAGTTACTGTTCAAAGAAAATAATAGACATTTAATTTCAACTCTTTGATTTATTTCTACTTTTATTAGAATACTATAAGTAAAACCACGAAGAAGTTAGAAAAATTAAAACAACAGATGAACTGTGATGAGGAAGTTCTGGAGAGCTGGATAAAGGAATCAAATCGTAAAGATAATGATGCTATCACAATCCAGAAGTACGCGCAACAAGATGAAGGGAAACTAGGAGTAAGTAGAAATGACAGCACTTTTTAGAGACAAACCAGAGAATCATTTTAGCACTTGAAGACTTCGTTATGTTATTAAGTCAGGTAAGAGGGAGACAAGATTTTGTACAACAGGACTTTTAAACTGGTTTCCACTTAGCACAACAGTGCAGTTCCCTATGAGGTTTGACAGGTCAGAGAGAACAGGTTTTACAAAAGGTGAAAGGCATAATTGAAGACATTAATTTGTTTGTTCAGTTCATCTGGGTAAAATTGAAGTTTTAATTTTTCTGTACACAAATAGACAATAAAGTCTAGAAAACAGTGCCACTGAATTAAGAGAGGAGTCTGTTCAAAAATGCACGCCAAATATGGACGAATAGTGTAGATTTTCCCATTAGAACTGAATTTGTCAATTTTACTGAGAACAAAATACAGCTGCTTTAGTAAAGCTGCCTGGAATAATGAAAGACGGTATAAATAGACACCCCGGTCACAAGTGCAGACTTTCTAAGGGTTAGTTCTCAAGTATGTTATTAATTTAGAGATATGTCACCCTGGTTAATACTATTTTGAGCCTTTAAATACAGGGAGGAGAAATTTGATTTTTACTCATTGAATACTTAACCCAAACACTTTAGCTTACACCAACAGTCTCACTGATATCATTTATGTTAGCAAGTCACACAGCATTGTAGGAAGAGTAAAGCGAGATAGCTGATGCTAAGGACACCGTGTACACATTTATGTGTGGTGGAGGGTTACTTTGGTCTAGCTCCCGTCTGGTCCCAAGGGCTGACAAGAGATGATGGCCTCTTGTATGACCAAAAATTTGGGAGGCTAGATTCTCGGGTTTTTTATTCTCTAAAACATGATAAAATTGATGGCTCAGTAATTTCCCCCCCAACTGTAGCAGAACTTTAAGAATTTATAAGACATTATATATTTGTTTTCACATACATGATATTTCCGTATCCTTTCATTTCAGGCATTAACCCTTCAAGTAGAAAAGTTGACCATGCAAGCAAATCAGAAGCGCAAATCTCTTGATAATGAACTTACAGAAACCATAACAGCTCAGGTTTGTACTTAAGGTTCTTGAAGATATCTTGTTATGTATGAAATTTTTAAAATCAGAAATCACGGGGGTGCTTTCTTTTAAACAGATAGAGCTTGACAAGACAGCTGAAGATTTTCGCAGAGTTCATCAGGAAAGGCAAGAAGTCATCAGGCAGTGGGAGAATGCTATACAACAGATGCAGAAAAGAGATCAACAGATTGATCATTGTGCTTTGGTAAAACTGCTGTAACTGATCCATATCAGTAAATCAGACTCCTTTTGTGTCTATGATATTGATAGGAATTTTGCCAGTCACACAAAGAATGATTGGGTATTTTAGATGTTGAGTGTTCTCTTTGTGTTTACCTCTGTATTTTATTAAGGTGTTTCAAAGTTCAGCTATTACTGAAATCTACGCAGAATTTATTTTGAAAGCAGTATCTCTCAGTGTAAGTAATGGTGCTCTGCTCAATACTACACAAGGTTTAATCTTCAGTCTCAAGGTCGTTGGAAAATGCAGAGCGTGCCAGTTTCAGTATTCCCTTCGGTCTACGAAGCAACAAGAGGGAGCACTGTTTCTTAGAGAGTAAGGCCAGTCACCTGCAAGGAGGGGGGATTCTGCATCTGGACTGCAATATAAGAAAGAAAATAGAACACTTAGAATTGAATTCTACCTCTGTGAACAAATGCATGACTAACATTCCTGTCAGAATTATGATAAATAATCACATTAAGGTTAAAAATTGGTCCTTAAGTATATTCTGCAAATGGGGAGAAACAGCAGCACTATTCTAATCAAAAAAGATCCTGGCAGGCGTTCTGAGTTACTATTAATTTCCAAAAGGCATAGTCTTCCTTGGTTTTGTCAGTGTCATGCACAGACGGTACAATGGCAAGAGGTACACATAAAGTGTAGTTTATCCTGGCTCTGTCAGAAGTGTGAACTCCTTGGAAAGTTCTGCAGGGTGATAGAACAGATGCACCAGAAAAGCTTGAAGGATCAGTGTGGAGCAAAATTTTATAAATGTGGATTCCAAAGGAACAATGGCTTTTTTGAAGGGGGTAAAAGCATAATTGCATGTACAAGAAGGCTCTACCTAAATCCTTAGCTCTGCTAGTATGATATTTTACT